GGTTGGGAAAGAGAGGAAGGATCCCACGGAAAACCGGGGACGGAGTAGGAGACGACCCTGATTGTGAAGAAACGGTGGAGTACGGGAAGTGATTTTCTTGAAATTGGACATGACGAGAGATGTATACACGACCCGTGGTGCGATCAAAACACCGATACCCTTTGGAGGAAGAGTCATAGCCAAGGAATATGCAAGGTTTGGACCGGGGTTGGAATTTATTAGTGATTTCATGACGAAGACATGGATAGGACAAACACCCAAAAATTCGAAATATAGAGTAGTCTGGAGGTTTGTGAAAGAGAGACTCATAGGGTGATTTGTGATTTAAAGACCGTTTGGGCATGCGATTGATCAGAAAATTCGCCGTGGCTAAGGCTTCAACCCAAAATTTTGCTGGGAGAGACGCAGTGCAAAGGAGTGTGACAAGGGTTTCAACTAAGTGACGGTGTTTCCGTTCTGCTACCCCATTTTGCTCAGGAGTGTATGGACAAGATTTTTGATGTAGAACCCCCAAACTTTGTAAGAACAAGCCAAATTTTGTGTTGACATATTCCCGCCCATTATCAGTTCTAAAAATTTTATTTTGTGTATTGAACTGATTTTGAACCATAGATTGAAAACTCAGAAAAGCATCAAATGCATCAGACTTGTGTTTAAGAGGATACACCCAACAAAATTTGGTAAAATCATCAATGAAATTAATATAAAAGTGAAAACCTCCAAAGGAGGGTACAGAGGTAGGTCCCCAAACATCAGAGTGAACAAGTTCAAAAGGAGCAGACGCTTTAGTTTGCGACACAAGGAAGGGGAGTTTATGAGATTTAGCAACAGAACAAGAATGACAATGATCAAGTTCCTTAAATTTAAAACCTAATTGAGATAACAAAGACTTGGTGACTTGAACAGAGGGATGACCAAGCCGGCAATGCCATTGATAGGGAGTGACTTTGACAGAGTTGACCACTGGTGACGAACTGAAGGTAGGGAGAGAATATAATCCACGCTCACAGGGGCCCTTGAAAAGAACTTGGTCGGTGGTGTTGTCCCGAATCATAAAATCCTTTGAAGTGAAAAGTAGGGAACAGTTATTATCTTTGGTAAATTGATGAACGGATAAAAGGTGAGAACTAATATGAGGAGAATGAAGAAGATTGGTTAATGTAAAGGTATGGTTTGGAGTGGTGAGTATACCTGAGCCTGTATGGTCAATAGGATAAGTATTACCTCACGCAGTTGTAAAAGAATTGATGCCATGATAGGGTGAAGAAGTATGGAGCCGAGAAAAATCAGACGTCACATGGGTGTTCGCTCCAGTATCTAGATGCCAGTTCGGATTGGTTTCAGCAGATTGATTGGTGTAGTATGCCTGTGGAGGACCGGAGTAAGATTCATCGTAGCGGTGCCAACAATTCCAGACCGCATGACCGGTCTTACCACACAGTTGACACGTGATGCCGGCCCCACCCCCACCACCGCGACCTCGCGGTTCCTCACGGTAGGAAGGCAGCCGGCCTCCTCTGCCGCTGTAGCTGCTGCCGCGGGAGGGCCCTCCACGGCCACGATATGGCCCACGGCCACGACCCCGGCCAGTACCTCGTCCTGAATTGGTGAATAATGCATGGTGAAGATCTGTTGACGAGGGAGAACCAGTGTCACCAAGGTGCAATTTCTTCTCAAAGGTGAGATTTAATTCTTCCGAGAGCAACCACGCAAATACTTGATTAAAAGTGACGGTTGCAATATTAGTACGAACGTTTTGTTTGAGCGAGGCATAGTCCGTAGGGAGGCCTCGAAGCACACACAGGATAATATCTTGTTTAGAGATGTCCTCATGAGCCAATTTCAGAGATGAGACAATAGTGAGAACAGTGTCCAGGTATGTTTGCATGGAATCAGTGCCCTTTTGAATGCTATGTAGGCGTTCCTTCAATTGAAAAATATGAGTACGTGATAGAGAATTATACCGTTGTTCGAGGTGATTCCAGATCGCAGCAGAGGACGGAAGAGCATGAATATGAGTCTAAACGGTTGGAGAAACAATAGCAAGAAGACAGGCCCGGATTTGAGCATCAACAAGAACCCATGAGTCATAAGCAGGATTGGGTTTCATAACTGGCAGTTCATCCTTGCCAGGGGCGGCAGCTTTCTCGTCCACAACAAGGGGTGGAGGAGGCACTTCTGAACCATCAACATATCCGAGAAGACGATGAGCGATGAGATTTGCACGAACCGTAGCAGACCAAGAAGGATAATTTGTATCATCAAGTTTGACCGGAGTTAGAGATTGAAGATTCCGGATAAATAATTTCAAACCCGTAGGCAGACGATTCATGGGATCAGAAGATTGAGCAGCCATGGCCGATTGGTGGAGATCGGCGGCGTGGGAAGACGAATCGGCTGGGCCGATTTTTTTCTTTGTGTTATCGAGAAGGAAGAGACGGATCAATAGGCTCTGATACCATATTGAATTATGATTTCAACTCAAGGAAATAATTGTGTACAAGGTAGTTTATATAGATGGAGATTCCTACATCAATTAGGATTCTCCAAATATGGTAATTAACTATAATAACAATCCTTCTATAACTATAACTATTACCATAGTTATCTAACAAAAATATTAATAAAACTAAGTATGGCAACTAATTGAGTGGAGAGAGAAATGATAACTTGGTTTTTATTCCACACAAAGCAAAGAAATAAAAAGATAAAGCATATTAAATTTATATGGAAGACGGAGAATAGCAGCTACGCTTGGAACACATATGAAAATAAGAACGTCCAAATCACTTTACATATATATTCTAAACTATGTTTATAGCTGTCCATTTTTAGCATCTCCATTGGAGATGCTCTAAGAGCATATATTTACAACGGGGAAAAATTTTGCCTCACTCCATTACCTCAGCATTTTACTAACTCCAGTCCCGTTCTAAAACACCTACAATATTATGATCATCTCTGTTTCTTTTTATATATATTAATCTTTATTTATTATTAAAAGTTTAAATAAATTTAAAAAATATATATTTCTTAATAAAAATATATGAAAATTAAATCAAAATTAACTAAACGTGGACAGGGGGATGGGTTGGGGTCGAGATGGGGTGGAGGTTTACTGGGGTAAGAGGGTCGGGGTAGGAATTATCTTTATAAACGGAACACCGTATGTATATAATGTCCACTGTGGTTTCTCAAACAGAGTGGCCATAGAATGGGACCCATTTAAAAATATCAAATTAATTTTCAATAAAATGATGGGTGTAATTTAAAAATATTACTCCCTCTGTCTATGATTATTTGTCTACTTTTGACTTTTTTTAAAAAAAATTGTGAACTTTGATCTTGAATCAAATAAAGTGATATGCATACTAATACAAAAATAATTTTACTAGATTCATTTTATAAAATAGGGGAGTTTACCTAAATATGACTAAAACATAATGACTTTTCCTCTATAGAATCATATATTTTTATTTTCCAATGTAGAATCATTGGTCATTATCCATTAGTCATTGTTCAAGTAACGTACACCATCACTGGACATATTTCTCGCACTAGACATTATTGAATACAAAATAGCAAAGCATTAAATTGAGGAAAAACATTAAACTTATTTTGTTTGCTTGAACTGTGGACTGTAGAAGAAGGGATGATACAAAGCAATATAATGCCACATGGACATCGCATGCATGCACCGCTCTAGCTAAGCCACCTACCGTACGTGTAACCTTCTCATCTCCCCATCCATTTATGCTACACTGAAATCATCATTATTATTACATATATATGCCTACACAGCTACACTCTAGCTAGTTGTAGTCACCGGCCACCGCTCACTGGAAAGTAATGTCTCCCTCCGCCGCCGCCGCCGCCCTCCTCCTCCTCTTCAACCTTTCATGTTTCCCTAAAACTGCCCCTGGTAACCCTCTATTGGCGGTTCGCCACAGAGACACCGTCCTTGAGACGGCCCTACGAACCGCCCGTTCAGACGTTTTACGTGCCACAGAATGGGCACGTAGTTTCCTCAACGACCTCCACGAACTGCATGGCGGCGGCAATAATGGCATCGCTGCCGCCATGAGCGACTGCATCACCCTCTACGAAGCGGCAGAGGAACGCCTTGCTCGACTTGATGTGGCGCCGCCACCGCCAGGCGATTACGACGACCACGACGCTGTCACTTGGCTTAGTGCTGCCTTGTCGAGCCACCGGAGCTGTTTGGATGGGTTGGACGAGATGGGATCAACTAATTATCGCCATAAATTCTTTCGTAGTAACCTGACTTTGTCACTTAAACAAGCTTTGGCTAGATATGCCACTAGGGGAAATACAAATCCTATCCGAACAGGTACATGATTTTCCTTCCAATTTCACACAGGAGAATTTACTTAAATAACACTAAAAACATAATAATGACTTTTCTTCAATAGCATCACATCACATGTATTTTTTCTAAGTAGCACTTTTAGTCATTAGTCATTATTCAAGTAAATGTTCGCGTCATCACTGGACATTATTCCTCAATTCTGGATATTATTAAGTGTTATTTAGAGAATAAAACAATTTAAGTGTTATTTAGGGAAATGGCTTAAGTTTTAGTGTTATTTAATGCAAATATTTCTTTCATAAATATACACATTTCCCCTTGGTTCCATGACATTTGGATTTCTAATATTATTATGGGATGACCCAGGGTCTTTACAATATTTTATTCAAAAAATTGATGCTTCATACCCCTAATTTATTGGTAAATTTTCCACCCGGCCTGACCTCAACCCACCCCACCCGTCAATTACGTTTTTAAAGATTTAGTTTACTTTGAAGTTAAATTTTGATTCTAAAATCAACTAACTATTGTGACGTGCAATTGATGGAAGGCCGGCCCCGGATGGGGTTTACTAGAAAGTTAGGGGTTAGGGGTAGGGGAAAAAAGGGTGATTGATATCAAACGAGGCTCAGGCTGAGGAAAGGGCTTCCTCGCCTCTACCCCCTATTCCCAACCCGGCAGATGATGACTTGACGTCATCCTCACCTTCCTCCGGCTTATCACCGGCAGTCTGTAGCGGGTGGTTCAACAACATAAACCGGTTCCGAAATTAAGATAGACGCAAGAGCGAAAACTTATGGGGTCTTGAAATTAAGAATCTGCGGTTTTATTCAAGTCATAGGGTCTTAACAAAGTAATTTATTAAAAAAAATAAATAAACTGAACAGAAAGGCCGCAAATTTGGTATTTTCGAATTGAGAGAGATCAATAAGTCTAAATCATGGAAATGAAAAGAGTGAATGTTCGCCCGCGAAAATTTTTAAATTTTTAAATAAATAAAGATTCGTTGAACTATGTTCAACTCATTTAGTTCAACGAATACTTTTGAAAGGTGTGCTATTTGCTCGTCTTGTATTATCTGATCTTATCTTAGAAATGAACTACGGTGACCTGATTCTCTTATGGCACGAATTTTAGATCATAAACAAGCGATTATATCTCATTTAAGAACCAACCCCTTGGACTACTTCGGGTTTAGCTGGATATGGGAACTTCCCCGGACCCTCCCATTTCATTTGCTTATGGGAATGAGTTGAACATAGTGAAACGAATCTGTTGTTCGTTCGTTGAACTATGTTCAACACTATGTGAAACAACGAAATTTTTTATAATATCGCAATCCAATATTATTATACTAATACATTCAGTTTGTTAAATTTTTAGCCAACATATTTTTAGGTAGTGCAAATAAGAAGTTTTGCGGAGAAGGAAAGGCCAAACACTTCGGCCTAAATGGAAAAAATGCATCGATCTGCGACAAGGAATTTCGCTACCTTAGGACAGTTGGAGTTACTGCCGCCGTTTACCGGGGTTTCCATTCAAAGCTTTAAAAGATGTTTAAAATATCAAATAATTTAAAATTAAGAATAAGAAACGCTCAATTTTTCGTGCTCTTGCTACAGTTAAACGGTCGTCGTCCGATAATTCAGGGAGTTGTCGAGGCAAATAGGTCAGAACACGAAGCTGAATCAACGAATCGAAGAAAGTGAAACGAATCGTTACACTCTAGCAACTTCGTTCGTTCAACCGTTCGCCCCAACCATCCATTTTTTGAATGGAGCATTGAATGGACCCAAATGAGCCTATGTCACAAGATGACATGGAGAAGGGCTGATGTCATGAAAATGCCCCATTTACTTTCTTCTTCCCATTTTTTTTATAGTTTGACTTTTTTGGTCAAATTTCTATATAGGGGTGCGGCATAAGAACAGTGCAAGTTCTGGGGAGAGCGCGGGGCTCTTGGCGGAGTGGAGCGCATCTTCGGCATCGATTAAGGCGGATTTAGTGGTGGCACAAGACGGCTCCGGCGATTACAAGACCATAAACGAGGCGGTGGAGGCGCTGCCTAGAATAACGGGGGAGAAGAGAAGGGTGGTGGTGTACGTGAAAGGGGGAGTGTACAAGGAGAGGGTGGAGATAGGGAGGGGGTTTAAGAATGTAATGCTCGTCGGCGATGGAATGGATAAGACTGTTATTACAGGGGACCGCAGCTTCCACGACGGCGCTACCACCATCGGCTCCGCCACCTTCCGTGAGTCCACCGCCATATAAAATTCAATCCTAGGGAATACTTCCAGCTTCCTATATCTCATATTGATTTGACTAGTTCAATTTAGGACCGACCTAGTCATTATTCAAGTAAATGTTCATTATCACTATACATTATTTCTCTCATTAGACATTATTAAGTACTATTTAGGAAATGTAGTGCTCCGTATATGATGAGTTTGTTAAATGTGTTGATAGGTGTATTGGGGGATGGATTTTGGGCACGCGACATGACCTTCGAGAACACGGCGGGGCCGCACAAAAACCAAGCGGTGGCCTTGGCGGTTGCGTCCGACCGCGCCCTCTTTTATAGATGTAGCATCAAGGGCTACCAAGACACCCTCATGGTACATTCTTTGAGACAATTTTATCGCGATTGTCACATCTATGGAACAATCGACTTTATTTTTGGGGACGCTGCCGTGGTGCTTCAAAATTGTGACATATTCGTGAACCGGCCCATGGACCATCAGTCGAACCTGATAACGGCCCAAGGGAGAGACGACCCAAACGAGAACACGGGGATATCCATCGTCAACTCGAGGGTGAGGCCCACGGTGGAGATGGGCCTGGTGAGAGGTAGGGTGAAGAGTTACTTGGGTAGGCCATGGAAGAAGTATTCGAGGACAGTGGTCCTAAAGACGGACATTGATGGGGTTATTGACCCAAAGGGTTGGATGGAGTGGAGTGGGAACTTTGGGCTCTCAACGTTGTATTATGGGGAGTACTTGAACACTGGGGCCGGGGCATCAACGGCCCAAAGGGTGAATTGGGCTGGATTTCATGTGTTGAAGCGGGCCGAAGATGCAAGCCCATTTAGTGTAAAAAATTTCATCCAGGGTGATTCTTGGATCCCAGAAAGTGGGGTGCCTTATGGTTCCCAAATATGACCGTCCCCAAAATTACCGTATGAGTGTTTTGCATGCATATTTTTTATTTTAAAATTATGTTAGAGTATTTAATTTTTTTAATTGAAGTTCAAAAATAGTAAGTTTGTGAATTTTGTGATAATTTTCTTTGTGAATCTAGCATTTTTCTTATTATTGACGAGCAGTGCTAGGTTCACAAACATAACTGCACAAACTTACCATTTATAGCTTAAATTTTTATTTTAAAATTATTTTAGAGTATTTAATTTTTTTTGAAGTTCAGAAATAGTAAGTTTGTGAATTTTGTGACAATTTTGTTTAAAAATCTAGCATTTTTCTTTTTATTGACACGTTATGTCATCAATTATAAACTGACCAAACACCTAAAAGTAGATAAACATCTAAAAGTAGATAAAATGCTTGTTTGGTAATATCGTAAGAAATTAACATTAGCGTTTTGAAAATGCTATCTACGGGTAACGACGTTAATCGTTAACATTTTTAAAGTAATCTGCACTGTAAAATTTTTATTAAAAAAGCTGACGCTAATCTCTAACGCTATTTTCAAAAAGGCCCAATAGAAACAACTAACTTAAACATCTCACAATTGAATGCCAAATAAAACCCACACACTTTTAGCAAACTAATCACCTTATAGTAAATGGGTATTCCCGCCAACTTTTTACATATATTAAGAAATTTCTACAAGTAAAAAAAAAGATTAGGATTTCACTACAAATCACATATAAATTTTAATCATTTTCTTTATTTATTTTCAGTATTTACTTAATATAGTCACTTCTTGTTTTACACATTTTTAAGTATATAAATTTTTACTTTTTAAGTTTTATCTCAATCTGCATGCAAGTTGAATTGAAACGGAAAAACTTTGTAGGTCAAAGGAAATGTTGGACACTGAAAAGATATATTTTTAACTTGTGGAAAATAAGCGTTTTTTGTTTTTCTTGTTGGTCAAAAGAAAAATGAAGTGAAAAATAGTTTTTTTGTTTGATTATTGGAAACAAGAAAAGAAAAGTGGAAGGAAAAGAAAATGAGAAAGAAAAATGTACCAAGTGGAGGAAAAACTAAATTTCTCCCATTTTGGTGAGGAAAATAGGAGAAAACTATTTTCTTTCCTTTTACTTCTAAATTCCTTGAATCAAACATAATGTTACTATTTTCGTCATGTCTTAGAGATTTTGTCCCTTTTTAATTTTCATGTAAGTCATTTTGAAAAAGAGGAAGCATATTTTCCAAAAAAATAGATGGACTAAAAGCATGTTATCTTCAACTAATCCTTATTATTTATTAAAATTAATTCTGATCAGATCAAAAATAGATTTAAGTATATTTAGTTCAGATCAAACTAGATTAGATCAAAATTTATTTTAATCAAATTAAAATCAAGAGAAAATGACAAGCTTACTAGCTAAAAGGATCATCTTTATACCTATAACTACCTATATAAAACAAAGGTACTAGGATACAACAAATGTTGTATTCCATTTGTATCCCTTTCATCTTCACCATACAAATGCAATAGAGGAAAAAAAATTAAAAATGAAAAAATAAATCAATAATTAGGATTAATAACATACAAATAACTCTAATATTTTTGGTATAAAAATGAAAATGGTACCAAAATTGAGAGGGGACATAATATTGGACGGGGGCCGCCGACCTTTGCAGGCAGGTCTATAGCAAATGTCTAAAAAGTACTCCGTAATTGAAAAAAATTGAAGGGTGTAGAAGTAAATTCACAAAAGTGACGCTGCTGCTGCTCTCTCTGCGACTCTTCCCCGCCTTTCTCGAGCGAACCCCATCAGAACACAGTCGCCATTGCAGAAAGCTTGCTTGCAATCTAATGCACGACCGCTGCCAATTTCGGACTTCAGCAGCTATCGGATAGCAAAAGCTCCCCACTCAAGCAAAGGAATTGCAGTGGATCCGGCCAGATCCGCATGTCTGTGGATCCGAATATGGATTTGCTGCAGGAGTCCGGTTGGGAGGAGCTCCGCACCGAAGCCCGCAAGGTCGAGAGCGATCTCGATGTCAAGCTCTCCTCTTACGCCAAGCTCGGCTCTCGCTTCGCCCATGGGGGAGGTGTTTCAATTTCTCTCCTCTCATCTGTCATACTTTTTACTCCCTATCTGTTCACATTCAATCACATATATTTTCTACAATTCAACGTTGTAATATTACAATCGATGGATTATCAGAATATTTACAGCGAGATCAGGATTTGGATTAAAATTATAAGGAGCAAAAGCTTCGGATAGTCATCTCCCATTTCTCAGTCCCATCCAAAGTTTATCATACTGTGGATTAGTTATGAAATTTGAACACTAATACCGACTTCTGATTAATGGAAGAAGGAATGTTGCATCTAATAGGTTGTGGCATTGTTTGTTATTCAGGTTATGTTGATACTGGCTCGCCAACTCTTGGCTCCAGCCGATCATGGAAGTCCATGGAAATGGAGATTCAGTCATCACTTGAGAAGCTACTGGATATAAATGATGCCATGAGCAGATGTGCAACATCTGCAGCACCAACTACATCTGTTACCCAAAAGTTGGCAAGGCACAGAGATATACTACATGACTTCACCCAGGTTAATTTCTCTCTTTCTGTAAACCCAAGTTTGTCAATCATTAATCTCAAAAACACTCAAACCTTATTTCTAGTAAATTTTAGACATTTTATTGTAATTTCTTTATTGAATAGGGATAGTGGACAACTAATTCCGAAGAAATGAAAACAAGAAAGTTGACAACTAAATCCGGATGGAGAGAGTGTAAAATAAGAAATATGCTCCAAAAGTTTATAAAAGTTTTAAACAAAATAGTAGAGTTATCAGTTTCCTACTTAGTTTAATAAGATGCTGCTCAGAGCTTTGATTCATGTGTATACACTAGCTGTTAAAATTCCGGCGGGCCGAGAACAACGGATAGAGTGTCGGGTAAAATTAACCACTTGCATATAAAGTCGGGATCCACAATTCTAACCCAAAAGCTTAAGCTAGTAGGTATGGCTTCACCCTTCAATATATGCAACTGATACTCATCTTTATTTTCCGATGTGGGAACTCCAACACTCCCCCGCAAGTGGTAACTAGCCTGGCCTAGCTAGCACTTGGACAAACGGGTCTAGCATCTCAATCTCTTATAGCTAGCCCACACAACGGACGGTGGCATCTCAATCTCTTTTTAGCCAACTCAGCCCAAACCACAGACGGGGTAGCTCATTTTTGATAAACCCACATCCAAACAACCAGGAACAATCAAACCCGGACCGGACCTGCTTTGATACCATGTTAAAATTCCGGCGGGCCGAGAACAACGGATAGAGTGTCGGGTAAAATTAACCACTTGCATATAAAGTCGGGATCCACAATTCTAACCCAAAAGCTTAAGCTAGTAGGTATGACTTCACCCTTCAATATATGCAACTGATACTCATCTTTATTTTCCGATGTGGGAACTCCAACACTAGCTCATATAGAAACTTCATCGCTGCTTCCTTTAAACTCTGCTCTGGCCAAATGCTAACTGATTGGTTCCTATGTTTAGGGACTAAATGTACATACAGCAATAACAATAACAACCCAGTTTGATCCTACAAGAGTAGGAGAAAATATCTGTTTGATCTACTAAAACTAAAGTACATACAACCATAACAATAACATCCCACTCTGATTGGTCCATATGTTTAGGCACTAAAAGTACATACCATGTAAACGTATGGAGAAAATATATATGTATCAATGGACAAAATATTTTTCCGTGGAAACCAAATTGGTAACAACTACTGGTTTTTTTGGTGGTAGCATGCCAATGTGGGTATTTCATTGTATGTTGGAGAAGCATTACATATTCATTGGATGTAAGAGTTGACTCCACTAATAGAGCTCAAGCTCAAAGTGAGGAAGATGACGAAGGAGAGAGAGTATGAGTATAATGTATGTAATGTAGAGAGAGTAATTAAGGTTTGAGGGAGAGTGGTGTGGTGGTGAGAGTAAGTCGGAGTAATTGATGGAGATAGTGGTGTAATGTATATTTTGGATATGCCCCGAAGATGTATAATCCTCATAGGTCGGTAGTATTTCCATCACAAGCTTCCCAGGTTTGGAGCCAAATTGTAGTTGATGGAAAAAGATCTGTGTTTTTTCCTCAGGTACCTGATGCACTTTTTAGGCATCTCGTAGCTGCCTTAGCGACCTCAATGGCCATGGGATGGAGCATGGTGCTTTTAGGGAAGGACTTTCGGGTTCCTCAATTGAAAGGCCTAAGTAGTTCGACGAAAGATTTTGGAGCTTTGTTTGTGAGTGACACTTACCGTCTTATGGGGAAAACATGAGGAGCTCAGGGGATAGAACACAAAATCTCGCCGAGGGGATTTTAGGTAACCTTAGGGTGAGTACTTTGATGCCTCAAAGAGCAGGGCTTAACTGCTTAGGGAGAGGACCTAGGTGCCTCGTGGAGAAGGCTTAGATGCCTTGTGAGGGAGAGGACATAGGAAAATGCCTCTCGGGGAGATGGCTTGATTGCCTTGTGAGGCGGCTTTGACCGACCTTATGAGAGGACTTAGGATTGGGAAAATGCCTCTCGGGGGCTTTATTCCCTTGCATGAGGACTTAAAAAAGCGCTTCTCGGGGAAAGGGCTTAATTGCCTCATGAGGCGGCTCTGACAAACCTCGAGAGAGGACTTAAGAAAGTGTCTTAGGCCTTGATTGCCTCAGGAGGCGGCGTTGACCGGCCTTAGGAGAGAACTTAAAAAAAGTGCCTCTTGGTGCCTTATGAGGCGGCTTTTACCGGCCTCGAGAGAGGACTTAAGAAAGCACCTCTCGGGGAGAGGGCTTGATTGCCTTGCAAGGTGGCTTTGACCGACCTCACGAGAGGATTATAAGAAGTGTCTCTCGAGGAGAGGACTTGATTGCCTCATGAGTTGGCTTTGACCAACTTTGTTAGAGGGCTTAGTGAGGCTTATTGTGGGTGCCACTTTTGTGGTCTTAGATAATATCTTGCCTACTATTTAAGTTTTTTACCTCTTCTCTTGGATTGGGGCTACAATGCTTTGGGAGAACACGCCCATGCTATTCGGGGCATGGGCTCTTAGGACTTAGCCAAACAATATATTTAGAGTTCGCAAACCATTTGAGGTTTTCTTTAGGATGCCTTCTCTGGAGTTCTTATTGGCATTGAACAACATACCACAATGACTATTGTAAATGGATTTACTTTTTCCTCCCATCAAATATATAAATTTTAATACAGGATCACCAATTTATCTGATACATGCCTCTCTACCCTGCTCAGTAGGGCTTCCAGGGGTAAGGTCTGCATACTTCATTTGCCTTGCTCTGTCCCCAGTCCTGGATATAAATTTGATTGTTGTTCTTATTGTGGTGTGGACATGCAAGAACATGTGCCAAAGCTGACCTTTTAAATCCCGCACATCAGTTTTAGATTGCATTCATATCATGATATCCCATGCTAACTATTGAACGAAACGCTTCAAAAAGCATCACGCCCTCTGTTGGCTTAGAGTAGAGCTCAATGGAGTACATCTAAGCTGATTTCTGATTATTAAGATCTGCTCTAGTCCTAAGCCCATTGATATTTCAATTTTTAATTTCGACTATCGATGCTCTGGTTAGTGGATGATTTTTTTAGAGTTGAATGACTTGAGTCCTATGTTGAACTTGCGACATAACTCTGCAACTATGAGTTATTGGAGTGTGTACATTAGTCTGAGCTATGGTTCTTATAGAACTGAGTAACTAATAGTATAATGCCTTATGGGTACACTTTAGTGCATGCTCTTAGTACCTTTAGTAAAGTGCTGCTCTCTTCACCTATTTGTGTAGTACATTCGTATTTATTCTTATTTTAATCAGATTAGGTTGAACCAAACAAGTGTTGGAACAATAAAAAAAATAATTTTATTGTTGTGACTGCACTTAGAAAAATAAAACCTTCTAAGTTGCCTACGTACCCCAATGAAGGGGATCAAGCCACACGTAGTTCAGAATAGGGTTAGTAAAATTAACCGGATAAGCCTTCATGGCGCGTAACCAATGGTAATGCTTTTCTAATCATTTCTTATCTACAAGTAACAAGGGTTACAGTATAGAACTGTTGGACATAGTGAAGGAGACCAAATTGATCGGTTGCTTTTTGATCAAACTTTCTAGAGTATTTGTTTGGGAATTAATCTGTGCACACAAACATTAATTCAATAGAGAATAATTTTTGTGCGAGACAATATTAAGAAATCTTTCTCCCATGCTCTGGTGCTTTCCTTTTTGTTCGAATAAATCATGGCTACATTTATAGCCATTATAAAGAAATGAATGTGATGCTTTAGAAAGGACATGTCTCCATTATAAAGTAATGAATGCGATGCTTTATGCACATCATGTATTCTTAAAACTTTTAAACTTTGAAAATTCAAAGTTTAAAAGAAATGGTCTCATCATTTCGTCTAAGCAGCACATGACTATACTTAATCCATTTATTTTCAATCCTTAATATCTTTAAGCTTATAACTTCACAACACCTTACTAAAAAATGTTATTAGAATCATTCAAACATTTGAGACAATATTTCTTAATAAATAACCAACAGCAAGAAATATTCAGATAAAACCCAACCAATGTTTTATTCCCAACAAGAAAATTAGACAAGATTAGAAAGAACTGGAAAGATTCCGTGCAGAGCAGAGCTTTAAAAAAATTTCAGTTTTGATCACTTTTTCAGGAGAAGGAAACAGTTCCTAACTCATACATAGTTCTTGTTTTCCTTTGTCTGATGCTTACCATACGCTTGTTTTCAGGAATTTAGGCGTATTAAAGGGAACATGCACTCAATGAGGGAACATGCAGAACTTCTTAGTTCTGTAAGGGATGATATTAGCGAGTTCAAGGTGAGTTGTCTCAAGTTTTAAATTGCATATATTAGATGCAAACAGTTTTTAAATTGTAAAGCTCTGGTTTTTATTTAAGCAGGCAGGGACCATGTCTCCAAGAAATCAGTTATTACGTGAGAGGGCTGCCATACATGGAAGTATTTCACATGTAAGAGCATTGGCTTGCTTAGAATTTAGTCATGTCTCTGCTACCAACTCCTTTTTATGCTACCAATTTTCTGTTTTACGCTTGAGTTTGTTTTGATTACTGAGAACTGGACTGAATGACCCCATCATTCTCAGTTTTCTTACAAGTGTTGTCTCTGAAAAGTCTGAATCCCTCCGATGCAAAGCTAACAAAGTTAATTTCAGATAAATGAAGTGAGAAACAGTCTTGAGGTTCAACATGGATAATTTCCTCACTTCTTGGCTGGGTACTGCTGAAAATGTTTTTTAATTTTCCCAAGCAGACCTGTTTGAAAATTTTATGGGCAGTTATTTATCAAGTCTATTTTCCAGATCTTTTGTTACTGTCCATTGCCAATGGAGCTAAAACAGTCATTTCTGACAATATGTTAGTTTTGGATAAATAATGGGCTAAATAAAAAAGACACATTAAACATCCATTGTTTTTACTTTTTATGAAGTTTTGGGCAATAAATGCTACAATGCATCAAAGCTCTGATGTAAACAGCCTCTATGTTTGTTTACGTTGGTAAGGTTGTCTACAACTTGACCAACCCCAGCGGAGTGGGAATCGTGCTGTGTTTGTTGTTGTTCTTCATCTTGTTATGTTTATGAATTTCAGAATAGAATACACGTTTGGTATGAAACTATAAAGTTATGGTTTATACAGTAAATGCTTTTAGAAGAGTATCAAAGTCAGAATAATGTTTTTGAACTAAATGAAAACATGAATCATTATCAAAATTTTGGTGTTCTTTGGAGGCAGAAATAATAGCAAAATTTTTTAACACTACCAAACTACACTGATGGTCTAGCATATTTGGAACATGGAATGTAGCCGCGTGGAGCTCATTTGGTAAAAGTTCTATGGCCGAAATAGCTATTGACTAGAGTGTGTAGAAGGACAAGTAATTGGTAAATTTATAGAAGGAAAAAGTGTTTGGTAAAATTGATTTTTTCAAATAAGGAAGGCAAAGGCTACTTCTTGAATGCATTCTGGTTAGCAGCATGAACAGAATAATCTGATTAATGAAACGGGCACTTAGTAGTTCTTGGTATAATTAACTCTACACAATTTCAACCACATGGGGAATTGAGGAGTGTCTATGCAGATTGATGATGTGATCAGTCAAGCTCAAACAACACGGGCAGCATTGGGGTCGCAGAGGACACTATTTGGTGCCGTGCAGGGAAGAGTGAAGCAACTGGGTGACATGTTCCCTCAAATTCGCGGCATTATCGGTATTCCTTCTTTCTTTTTGTAGGGTGGCTGTCTTATTACTTCTTAGTCTTTAGTTTCATAGTCAGTTCCGGAAACTAGTCACTCTTGTCTCATTGTCACATATTCACAACTCTGTGTAGGTTCAATCAGGAGGAAGAAATCAAGGGACACTCTCATTCTCTCAGCAGTTATTGCAGCTTGCACTCTATTTCTAATCATCTATTGGCTCTCAAAGTAGTCAGATATACATGCATCAAAACCAACAAATACTTACTGGCTTCATTCTTCTGAGCCTTTTGGAGTTTCTTTTATAAAAAAAAATTCTTATTTCCAGTGATGCATTTGTGTTCCGCTTTATATATAACCTTTTTGGTTCTCAAACATTACATAAGTGGATTTTCTTGTTGTCTGTAATTAACAAACTTCACAAACTAACCTTTCCTAGTCAAGTTCTGCCGAATCAATAGAGAATGTTTGGCTTTTTAAAAAAAACACTCCGTATATATAGAGAATGTTTGGGATAACATGTGTTATTCTTGCTTTATTCATTAGTGCTTTCTTATTATGAATGATATGAATTAATATCGATATAAATCTTGAAAACTTGTTGCTGGATATGTACTTAAAGTTTTTGCTTCGAAGTTTTGGCGGAGAAGATGTTCCTTAAATTGGAAGCGAAGAGAGCTTTTGTTCATGGCAGGGCCGCTCTTGAGGATTAAGAGCCTAAGAGACGAGAAGGGGAAAAAAATTCTTAATAATAAAGACAGTTACACGACAATTAATAATGAGCGAAATCCATTTTTTCATCAACAAGTTACTATGTAAAAAATATCAGATTATTTAATGCCTCAATTAAAATTTCCATCAGTCAAAAGATGTTAATTTGGGCCAAAATGTTAACAAAAATACAGCATTAACCGACTGCTTAACAGATTTCACACAAAAGTATTTTTATTTACTCCACTTTAAGATAGGTATTTTCAAGATTGCAAATTGTATATTGATCTACATATGAGCAAAATAAGTTTTTCTTTACTATCTAAACAAGAATTTGTTTTTTTTGAAATAAAAAATTTAAAAAAATATGAGAAGGTCTACCAAATTAATATACATTCAAGGTGCACCAAAGAAGTTAAGCATTCTTTCAAAATTTCAATGCCACAACATTTTTTTCTAACAATAGATAAAAGTACTAGGTTCCTCACCGTACATTTCTTATTTACTTCTCTCTCTTCATATCTACATTAATGTAGTGTTTGGATGAGGAGAAATTGGGGAGAAAGAAAACAAAGGAAGGGAAAACACAACATTCAATGAGTCTTCTCTTGTTTGTTTGAAAGAGAAAATGGAAGAAGGAAAGAAAAGTAGATAGATTTCACCCCAAAACATGTTCTCTTCTGAAGTGATGAGAAAACTACAATAGAAGAGAAAACATGACAAATGACACATTTGCCCTCAACTCCTTTTCATTTTTGACCATTTAAATAAGGAATTAAGGATACAAATGTATTTTTACTTTATCACATTTTCTTTCCTTCTACTTTTCCTCTTATTTTCTATACATCCAAACAATAATTATTTTCTTTAGGCCTCGTTTGGTACACGGAATTCAAACTATGGAATTGGAATTGAGGACTTCAATTCCAAATCCACATAATTTTTGTGCAACCAAACGGACCCTTACATTTCTTTTCATTTTTTCTGCTCTTCATTTTCTTTCCTTTTACTTTCTTTCCTCCAATTCTCTTTCATCATCCAAACATACGGTAAGAGATGTATGGTGGAGAGTCTCTTGGTGTAAAAATGGCATTTTTGTATGCAATAAGTTGTAAAACCACTTTGTTTTGTAATTGGCTTTGACGTACCAATTCAAGTTTTATTGTTGGAATTGATATACTCCCTCCGTCCCATGAAACCTTTTTCCTTTCTTTTTTTATCCGTCCCACAAAACACTTCTCATTTCTATTAAAAAGTCACTTTTACCCCTTACTTTTTCATACCCTAACTATCACATCATACCTTTTTACTAATAATCTATCCATCAAATCATACTTTTACCATCACATCAAAGGACATTTTTGTAAATTTAATACCAAAATACACCCCCCTTAAATCTCTCCTAAAAAGCAAAAGTCTCATGTTTCATGGGACGGAGGGGTAGCTAGCTAGGCATAAGGCATCCATGCCATATGTTCTCACTCTTGTGCATATTGAGCGTGCAGTGGGCAGTATAGGAGTGTAGGACCATACAGTCCCTACACGTACAAATTATACATATAAGGCCAAACCAGCTGCAGCTGCTCGTCCTTAATTAACCCCAATTTTTTTGGCATAGTTAGCCATATTAGTGCTACATAAATAAATAAATAAATAAATATCGTAGGAATTTTCCTACCCTCGTAAAGTCTCCCCTCCTGCCTGAACCCACCGCCCAACCTTTCACATATATACTCCGTACATCGAATATATTAAGCATAATATTTAAATAATTTCTCGTCCCACAAAATCTTTCAGACCCTGTTTGGTACACGGAATTCAAACTATGGAATTGGAATTGAGGACTTCAATTCCAGTTCTCATGTTTGGTAACACAAAAATTATGTGGATTCGGAATTGGTAGTGCAAAAAATGAATTGGAATTGGTGAATTCAATTCTATGGAATTGAATTCCATGGAATTTTAATTCCAATTCCATCAATTCCGTGTACCAAACGGACCCTCAGATTTTGAGGTTTAACTTTTCAAAAATGTCATTGAATGTGATAGGTAAAAATAAATGTGATGAGTAGATTAATAGTGAAAAGAGTGATATTATAGGTAGGTAAAGAATTAGTAAGGATAAAAGTGACTTTTTAATAAAAATAAGAAATGTTTTTTCAGACAAACGAAAAAAGAAATGAAAAAAGTTTTATAGGAGGGGGAGATTAATAGATAATAATGTAGTACGTACAACTTTGGCCGGCCTGTACTAGATATGCATGCACCCGGCCTGCATTGTCACCTCATTTCACATTTGATTTTTGTCACCATTTTGGCTCCCTATAATCTGCCACCCATTGTTACCTAGCGAGCTTCGCAATTGTGGTCATTATCATACTCCAATCCCTTCCGCAAAACTCTTCCTCTTTTGTTTTTTTGCTTTCCACAAAACATTTCCACTTTCTATTAAAAAACCACTTTTACCCCTACTTTTTCATACCCTACCTATCACATCATACTTTTCCACTAATAACCAAACTATCTCATCTTACTTTTTCCCATCACATCAAGGGCAAAATTGGAAAGTCAACCAAAATTACACTTTTCTTATTTTTCCCCAAAGTCAAACAGGAAGGATTCTGTGGAACGGAGAGAGTGTCATTCTTCATTTTTTTCTTGTCATCGGTATACGTATTCTTTTCGCTCTAAATTAATTTGATCACCCTTTTTGTATACCCTCAACTCTATTGTAGTGAAATATTTGTTTTAATATATTTTTTTAATATATTGAATAACAAAAAGTTTACATTTTCTCATTGGGATTAACATATTAAACATCTCATTTGCAAGACCAGAGTCACGTTATGCCATTAGATGACAAGGTCTTTTAGAAATTATTGATCACTTTAAGTTCAAATTAAGATAGGGGGAATGTATTGAAAAGCTGATAAATAATGAAAAAAAATGAGTGATTAAAAATTATTTAAATGACAAAAATATTTTAGACTACATGGTTTCTACAAAAAAAAAAAGAAATAAAAATAAATACAGAGTAAGAAGTAAGCAAAATTATTTTGGAATATGAATGAATAAGAAAAGTGAGAAAAGTTTAATTGTGAGAGACTTTATATATTTGTTGGACTTCATGCCTCGAGATGGCCCAATGACCCAATACAGACCTTTGCGCTTGACTTGGGTGGGAGAGGGATGTCCGGAAATATCACGAGAAGGGCAGGGGGAGCTAGAAGCCCAATACGAATTGATGTACTTAGTTCCCGTTTGATACATGGAATTCAAATTATGAAATTAGAATTGGGGACTTCAATTCCAATTCTGGTATTTGGTAGCACAAAAATTATGTGAATTTGGAATTGATAGTGCAAAAAATGAATTGAAATTGACAAAATTTAATTCTATGGAATTGAATCCTATAGAATTTCAATTCCAATTTCATCAATTCCATATACCAAACGGACTCTTATAGTGTTATTCGAATGTAGGGTTATACAAGGGTGGCCCAATGGGCTCCGACTCGATTACAGTTTTGAGTATCCTCTTTTCTAAGGCTACTACTTTCTAATGCGGAAACAATTTGGCAGGAACTTGGGATGTTCCTACAGTGCTACTACTGTTTGGCGATTTCCAGCGCCGAGCATGCGTGTTAGACATTGCCTCCGCATTTAATGCCATGTACGGCCGTCATGATGGGTGGTTGGCTGATGCTGAGGTGACTGGCCTGACCCAGCAGGGTGATCCTTGCTTAGCGCCTCGCTCAAATTTGATGTTTGAAAAACTTAAAAATTTTGAATTTGGATTTGAGTCAAATTCATCTCATTCATAACAAAGCTTGTTTTGAAATCCATACACCTCCCCTTATCATTTGAAATTCAAGATTTCAATTTTTGGAATTGAAATGCATGAATTGAAATGAAATGCTAGTTGTCAAATATTACCTAAAATCAAAACGTCTCATGTTTTCAGGGACGTGGGAAGTATTAATGAGATAAATAAATATTTAAAAATATTTACAAAATAGAATTAATAAATTTATTTTTTTATCAATATATATTAGAATTAATATTTAATTAATTGACATGACATCGACTTTATTATTTGAGGGGTTTAAGGAAATATGGGGTGCTGGTCAACAAGGTGATTTGGTACATTAATTGACAGCCAACGTTGAGCGGGCAAGAGCCGATCGAGGCCGCGTCGCGCCCTTGTGTCACTCTAGCCAGCATATCTAGCCTGCGTAAATATTTCCTCAGTAACTCAGTTCTATATTACTCTTTATTCGTTCAATTTAATTTTTTAGAGTTAAAATTGATTAAATTGGATCATTAATAAATAAAATTTATATGAGTTATCCTTACACAATTAATTTTATCAGATTTACTTTGTAAAATATTTCCAAAAAATTGTATTGTCTAGTTAATCAATATATCATGCAATTTTTATTTAATTTAATTATTGATCAATGTCAATCGTAATTGAGTAAAGAAATACTCTCTGACTGATGGAGCAAACTAATCGCACAGATTAATTAAAAGAAACAAAATTGTTTCCAAGAGTATAAAATAAAATTTTTTTGACTTTTTTCGGTCAAAATTGATAAAATTTGACTTCAAATTAAATAAAAATGATATTAGATATTAATGTAAAAATAATTTTATTCAATTATTATATGAAATATTTTCAAAATATTATTTTATATAATTAATATACAATATATATTTTATGTAATTATAAGTCAAATGTTAAAAATATTAACTGAGAAAAGTCT